AGAGAGGGGAGAATGGGGGAAGCTGTAATTAGAGTGAATCTCATTAGAAACTGCTTCATCTAATCAGGCTCCCCCACACCCTCGAGTACAATTGAAGCTCGTTGCCTCAAAACAGTCCAAGCAAAACAAAGTGCACAGCGTGACCCCACATGAAGGATGGTGCCATTCATACGCCGCCGCTTGCTTTGTTTAAGTTTCTGCTTGCCTGCTGTAATTAGAAGATACAGAGAATTCAAAACTCTTCCAGATTTTGCAGGTCAGTAGCTGCAGGTTGCCTGAATATCACCACGTATTTAAGGGATTATGTTACGGGGCTGGTTCTGCTCTCTGGCTGCTTCTGCCGGGGGTAACGCCGCTACCTGTGTGCATCTGAGGATGCAATCTGGCATCTCTGCTTCAGATACAGGCAGAAATGTTGAGGGATCAATTACAGTGCTTAGCAATTGAAGAACTGATCTGCACTTGGAGACCTCGGCACGTCCAGACCTGAAGCACCGTTCTAGGATGGATGCAGAATAAGCACTGATAACATCCCAACCCGCTCCCATGTCTGAACGCCCACAGCTCCCGTATCAGAGAGCCTCTCAGTCTTCCAGATGAGAAATTCACCTCCAGGGGTCTTTACTTTCCCAGAAACTTCTTTGGTTCCTCCTGGGAGGCCTGAGCGAGGATCTGACAGGCAGAATCCCTCTGCACATCACCTCGCTTTGCTGAGGTTCCCACACGAGCTGCTCCCCCACTATGAAACGTGTCCTGCAGCTCCCTCGGGCACGATGCACCTTCAGCGCAGGGCACGGACGTGTACGTGATGCACACAGATGTATACTGCATGTATCTTTTTTTAACTAAGCCCCAAGAAAACCCATTAAACCTTGCAAATGTCAACTCCGTGTTTACACTGCTGGATAAAAAGCAAATTTGCCACAGAAATCCCAGGGGAGGGGGATGGCTGCGCAGGTTTCTCAGCAGAACGCGTGTGCAGATCCCCGCCTCGCTCTGCCCACCCCTCGGGCAGACCTTCCCTAGGAGGCTGAGGTACCTGCAGCAGGGGGTGCAACAAAAGTAATGCAAACTGTTGATCTGCAAAACCAGAAACTGGGTGCTCCTTATAAACATTACATTTTCCTCAGATCAGCTGGGCTGGAGGCAGGTACCAATGACTACTGTAAACACTCCCCAATCGCAGCGACATTTGCCTGAGATTTTTGGAGCAGTTAGCATTGCAATGGCATTAAAATAACGGAACAGACAGCACTAATCCTGATGCAATCCCTCCCCTGTCACGCAAGGCTCAGCTGCAGTAGGAGAGAAGAAGGCTTCACGTTATAAAAGAGGGAATGGGAGCCTTCAGGGGCTCTCAGATGAATTTTTGCTGTGGCTGCACCTTCAGCTACAGCAGATCCAGGGTGGAGCAGCTCAGATAGCCAGGACGTGCCCAGTCAGCCCCTTACCCGTAGAATTCGCAGGTCTGGTTTCCCAGGAGCACTGACACACGGCTGCCGGCCCCCAGGTAGTGCCCGGAGATGGTCACCATCGTCCCTCCCGACTCTGGACCGCGGCTGGGATTCAGAAAACTCACCACTGGAGTCTGGAGAAAGAAAAAAGAGAAATTCAGCCCTCCTGCCTGCTGCGAGGGGAGCTGCCAGCGGCCGGGGGCCATGCCAGCCGCAAAAGCACCAACCCCTGAGCATCTTCGTGCTTTGGCCGAGTGGGGATACCCTTTTTTAAAATGGAAAAGCAAAACAGGGATGCGTCCTGGACGTATGACAAATCTCCTGCTAAATTTTCAAGCCCGGCTCTGAAAGAGAGACGTGCCTCAACGGAACGACTGCAAATTTAGCCTTGGCAAAATTACGTATTTACCTTCAACTTTGTTCTTAAACAAAGCTAAGCTGTTTGCACTGCAGCTTCAAACAACTAAATATAGCCCAAGCCAAGTGAACTGCTACAATGAAAATACGAACCCAAACATTTACAGCTTGCCAATGTGGTAAAGCATCAAAAAAACCCGACCAGGGTTTGGTAATGGGAAATACCGCACGAAAAGGTAAGTACCTAACAGAAACCACCAGCTCCAGCTGAACATGAACCACCAGCGACAGTATTGAGGGGACAGGGCCTGTGTCCCACTGCTGATGGAAACACACCCCTGGTGGGCAAACGTAGGTCCCGCTTGACATTTTACTGGTGGTGTTATTGAAGCGATGCCATGTCTCTGTCCTGCTTTGCACCACGACAGCTATTTACCCCTTTAATAGAATTTGCAGAAAGCAGGTACCTTTTTATTTGTTTTCTATCAGTGGGTATTACCGAATTGTTTCACTAATGCTTTCCGATCACCCTCTTTACGACTCTCATCCGCAAGGGCTGGCAGCCTCCCAACTCCTTCCCCTGGTACCACCTGAACAGAAACCAGCCCAGTTTGTCCTGTTTTCTCTACTGTTTTCACAATGCAACATGTGTTTTCTGGGTGCCACAGCGTTCGCCAAAGCAGCTTAGACCAAAAGCCTGTTTGACCCTGACTCCTGAATAGACCAGAGGAAAACACCCTGTTGTGAGTAATTATAGAATAATATTACAGGAGGAAAGGACCCATCCTTCGACTGCTCATGGTCAACTCACAGCTCTTATCTAGCTCGATATCCTCGATGATCCTCGTCAGTCCCTTTTAACTCAGGATATTCTGTGACTACCCCAGCTAATGACAATACTAGATAATGTTAATGGTAATAGCAATGGTTACATCAAGCAGGCTTGGGAGCATTTCACATAATGAAGAGGAGTGATTCCAAAGCACAGAAAAGCTCCAAAGGATCTGCTCGTTGGAGCCCAGGGACAGAAAGGGGTAGTTATTTAACACATCCAGGAGGTCCAGCAGTGCCCACACACTCCCCAGTGACAGAGCTACACGCATGCTGGGAGGCACAGCCCCTCTCTACATTCAAAATCAATTATAAGCACCTCCTGGCTACAAGCATCTGATGTTTGTGGGGTGAGCATCACCTCGTCTAAGCATTGCAATCCTTGGAAATTCAAAGTATTGCCAAAAATAGAAACTCGGGACTGTAAATTTGAACAGTTATTCTTGTAAACAAGGAGGGGATAGGAGAACTGAGGGCCCACCCTAGAGACCTGCAAAACCTCCCAAGGCTGGGGCGAGGCCAGCATCAGCTGAGGGCTGAAACGTTGAATAAGAATTTTCCGTGTTCAACTCATGATTTGGTGATAATTATGACAGATTTACAGCTCCAAAGTAGCTCCAAGGTTCCACCTCCCCAGATAAAACAGGCGTAATTAAGGTGACAGCATCGCTCCGGCGCGGTGTCGGGCACCAGATGAGCTCACGAAGGCATGAACCCTCTCAGGGTCAGAACAGAGCTCTGCTTTAAGGTACCAATCAATTTTACTACCTCCTTTAATGGCATAAACCAGCTGTAATGGAATTTGTGGCGGCGCTGAAGAGAAAAATAGAGGCCAACTAACAAAAGGACGTGATGTGCTGGAAGTTTTAGGTGCCAGAGAAAAAGAAATTATATAATCAGGGTAAGTGCTGGAAATCAGAAGCAACAATGCAAAGGATGATAACGCTCAGCACAGGCTCACCAGGGTGCTGCAGGGCATTACTCCAAGATTCATCTCTGCAATTACCTTGCACCGGCTCCCGGTTATTTTTCAACACAAAGCAAGAGAGCATCTTCCTTGTGTCGCGTGGGAACCTGCCTTTCGATAGCGGCAAATCCTGGGACCACACTGGCACTGCCCTGCGACGGTCAGAGGCGCTTCTGGTATATTTGAGCCAAACGTGACGATATTTCGCAGCCCTGCCACGCTGCCGAATGAATGAAATCCCAGGGGTGACAGGGGCCAGCCTGATTTCTCTCTGTCAGTTTACAAATTGTGGACAACTGGTAAGTGCTGGCATCTCCCCGCATACAGATGCCACGAAGCACAAAAGCGATGCGGCTGGATGAACTGCCCTGTTTAGGCAAAACTGGAAGGTACGAGAAACCCCAGCTGTGGCTTTTATGTTTATGAATCAAAAGGCTGTTAATTGAACAACAAACAGAAACAATCTACTCGACCACTGGAAGCCCACCAACCCTAAGAGCAGCTCTCTGTTAAGCAGACAAAAAAAATAAATCCCTGAATATTTGGATGCAGAATTACCCTTCCAGCCCAAACTGTGAGTCCCTGACAATTCCTCATGCAAAAAAAATCCTCAGGTACCGAACAAAGTTACGCTTTGTGCAACGCTCCTGCCGGGATGACAACAACGCACTTTGCAAGGAGTAACCGAGCCGAGCAATTCAGGTTATCGCTGTTCTGGAGGTGCAAAGCTGAGCCCAAAGGCTGTGGGAATCCCGGGTTTCAGTTCCCACATAAATCCTGTTTATTCTGTAGATTCTGAAAACTGGGCTTGTTGGCTGGGCCACCAAGACATTGTGCAATGCCGTGGGGAAAGCATCAGGAGGTGGTGGCAATTCGGAGGTCGTCTTCTGGTGGCAGAAGCCCGTCCGTCGCAGAGACGCTGGCGGAGCACGGCTGTTCCCGCGGGGGACGCGTGCTGTCCCCGTGTCCCCCCTCCCTCAGCGAGGCACTCACCACGAACGTGTACTGCTGCGTGGACTTGGCCGTGAACTCGGGCTTGCACTCTCCGATGCACAGGAGCACTGGGCCGGAGCTGATCCCTGGAAGCCCCTGCCCCATTTCACAGACAATCCTGGAAGCAGAAATGCCGCAGTGAGCCTTTGGCAGGAGGTGCCAACGCTGCCCTGTGCAGCTCCACGCAGGGCTGGCTTGCTTTATTTCTCCTTATTTTCTTTTCCCCTTCCTCCTCCTCTTTAACTTTGATATCTGCCTCTTTAGAAGAAGTTAATTACCCAGTCTATTTTTACCCCATGTAGTAATTTAAAGAGAAAAAAAAAATCAAAATTAGACATAATTATTACAAGCTGTAAACTCCAGAGCAAAGCAGAGCACTAATGGCAATATATTAGCCAGTAGCAAAGTGAGTGCGAAGCCCTTGGAGTAACGGATGAGTTCATTAAGGGAAGAGCTCACACTGCAGTCCCTCAGTTAATCAAAAATGGAGAAAGCTGCTGTGACGGATGCACTCGACTCCAAAACCAAACTCTCAGTGGTTTGGTACAGGCTCCAAAGGAGGTAACTCAGTAGCTTGGTACAGGCTGGGCGGCGGGACCAGAAGACCCCCTCAGGGCAGGGTTAACCTGCCTTAGGGCAGGGTGATGAGACACTTGTTGGGTCTTGCCCTGAGAGCTGGAATCACACAGAGCCGGAGCAGCCTTTCCCCGAGAGGCTGAAGGTGCTTTTGCAATCGGCAGGGGAGACACTCGCTCTTCTGCTGATCGTGTGCAAATGCATAAAAGGCTCCAATTTGTGAAGGTGGCGTTTCAGCCGCCTTCAGCTGCATTAAATTCACTACAAATAAAATAAAGACTACAGGGAGAAAGAACCTGTAGACAGGTGATGCCAGGAGCCCTTACCAAACACATACATGCTAGGAAAGAGCTCTAATGTGAAAGTCCTTATTGCTGCACATCAAAACGGGTTGCCTAGAGAGACGCTGCCTTTGGAGAACAGGAACTGAAGCATCTCAGCTGTGTGCCTTAATCTGCCACGTGCTCCTCTCGCTGCCTTTCAGCCAGACATTGCCCATGCACCTCTCTGCTGCTATTTCACGGCTTCTCCTCCTGCAAACCAGCAGCAGGGTGAGGAGGCAGGGTCTCCTGCTCTGGAGATATTCAAAATCCGCCGGGACGCGTTCCTGTGTGACCTACTGTGGGTGATCCTGCTCTGGCAGGGAGGCTGGACTCGACCTCCAGAGGGTCCATTCCGACCCCAAACATTCTGTGATTCTGTGCTGCCAGGTGGGGGCTAGGGCAGAGGGCTGGCAGGAGCAGAGATTTCTGCTCCCAGATGGCACCCCACAGGCAAACAAAGCAAGATGAACTGATTCCTGGCACCCCACGGGCAGGATGTTTTCTCCCACAAGGAGGAAGGATGCACCAAGCACTAAATATGGGGCGAAGCACCAAATACTCAACCATTCGCCAGTAAAGCAGCAGCTGCCCTACGGGTACCGGCCATGACCGGGTGTGGGACGGGGCACAAGCGACCTGGTACACCGGATCCCAGTTGCTGATAAAAGCCAAATTCCCAGCAGGTACCTTGTTACAAAACGCTGCATTCGGCAGAGCTGTAGGGTGCTGATTGCTGGGCTAAGCGGCCCTTTCACCAACATTAACCTAATTGCTGGCTGATAGATTGCGTGGCTGGAGCATATGGTGAGTCATTACAGTCTTGGAATTCAGTCTGCCCACAGAACCCTTAAGAGGGTCCTTTTATCTGTATTCATCTTTAAAAGGCAGCTCTCATGCTAACACTTGCTGTTATCTGCCCAGGGTAAATGTTTTAATGATGTTAACAAACTTTGAAAGCTCAAGAGCCGTAATTAGAGTCATGATTATAAAATCAGGGTTTCATACCATCAAAGGAGGATAATTTTATAATCTTCCATCCTTTATTTGAAAAATAAAACAAAATACTGCTCAGCAGAACAGCCCAAACCGCTATCAGTGACAGTTTTATTGGTGCAGAGGCTGGAGCCTTTCCTGCAATAACACCAGGGATGCTCCGCACACCCACAGCACCCTTCATGCAGCAACGGCACCACAGACACAACCTTGCTGTGGGGGAGATTAACGTCATTTCTGCCTCACATATGAGGAAACAAAGACAACGAGCAAACAAAAACCAAGCCAACACCAATGGGTCCTTCCACTATGCCAGGGACCAGGCTGGGACCCACGAGATGCGCTGCAGCACCAAGGGACAACTGCTTTCAGCTGCTCCTGAAGCTGGGCCAGATCCGTGCTGCTGGGACCACTCATGGGGCCAAAGCTCCCCCCAGCCCATGGCCCCGCTACACAGTCCAGATCCTCAGCAGAAGAGGTCAGATAACCCAAGGGGAAACATCTCGTACTGCCCTGCACGTCTGACCCCCAACACACCCCTCAGCACCTCGGCTACAACAGAACCACCCCCTCCCGAACAGGAGCAAGCGTCACTTTGGGAGCTTTATTCGCCCGTCCTCTGTTACGTGCCTATTTTCTAATTTTTGGCTGACATTTTTCTTAGTGAAATAAATGAATTGACTCCAGCGGAGGCCCATTCGGATTAAGCGGCTGTCACTGCCTCACCCGCCTAACAAATGGCTGCGCGCAGTCAGCGGCGCCGCCGGAATTTCAAGTGTGATGAGGAGCAGAGGGGGCAGAGAGGCTCAGCATCAACCGCAAGGTGCTCATCAGAAAAGTTGCTTAGCAAAGCAGGAACCTCCGCACAGAAGGAAACAAAACAACGAAAGCTTAAAGGGATGCTTAACCCCACCAGAAATCATCCAAGCACCTCATCCCTCCCCGGTGTAGGAACGGCGTGCCCTGGTTCCGGCACCATCCACCTCCACATCCCTTCCGGAAGGGCTGGGAAGGGTGGAGAGATGGTGCCCGGGGTGTGGGTGGGGGATTGGCCTCCCAGCAGTTTTCTGGAGGTCAGGGAAGAGGCTCTGTGCAGGCTGCCCAGCCCTGGGGACCGGCGGTGGGGCGGGCTGAGGTCCGCGAGGTCACTCACTGTTCGGCGACGACGTACTGCTCAGGCAGGGGCGAGCACGGCACCCCGGCCACCTGCACCCCGTGGGCGATCTCCGAGAAATCCAGGCCCAGGTTCACGCCACGGATGGTCACCCTCGTCCCTCCTTCCGGGGGGCCTGACACCGTCAGGATCTAGAGGGGGGGGAAAAAAAAAAAACCACAAGGAAGATGAGGTGGTGTCTCCCCAGTGGCACCCGCGCTCCTTCAGCCCCCGCTGGGAAACAGACTTTGGCTCCATGGGCTGAGCAAGGAGGTCGAGTGCTGCAACCCCCACCTGCTCCTGCTGCCAAACCCAGGCAGTGTCACCTTCTCGTGGCTCCTCGGGATGTCTTGGAGAAGCCCAAGGATGCTGAAATCCATCTGTTCCACGCTCCGAGAGAGGACATCAAGGTCCCTGAGCTGGTCAAGAGGCGTGGGCAGTGCCACCCCCCCAGAAAGCCTTGCAGAAGGAGAAGGCTGTCTCTTTTTTCATAAATACAGAAGATAAGTCACCTTCCAGAAGTAGCCTGCTGCTTTGGAGAACTTTAACTTCTGCCTTGGCAGTTCTCTGAATGCTAATGTCACATTTTAGCTGTAAGCTGGCACCTCAAATGACTCACAAATGTTAAAGGGTGAGGTGTATGCTTTAAAGCTGCCCGTTTATAGCCTGCCTCAGCCATAATCATCTCTGCTTCTACAGACTTTCATTAAGAACTATATCCTCTTCAATTAGGAGTATAAATTACAATAATCTATAGTCACAAATTCTGGACCCAAGACTCTCAGACAGTTTTCCTGAATCTGCCACCAGTCTGTTGTTGCTCTTGGGTGGGTTACTAATCTTCCCCATGCCACAGCTGTTATTAATAAATAAACATAATCCATAATAATGCAATTTAATTAATTTAATGGATGAATCTTGTTTATGCTTGCTTGTTCCACCTTTGTCTTTCGCAAAAGACTTGAGCTCTTCAAAACCTTTTCCTTAGAGTTCCGGATGGATGGCTGCTTTTCCTCCCCCTTCTTAAGAGCTCGCTGTTCCCTGGCCGTGAGCAGGTTGGGAAGGTGCCAGGACACCAGCCCGAACCGAGAGCTGCCCCAAAGCAGCCCTTTGTGGGACCTCCTGCATTTCCCAGTGCCACAGGGCACAGCTCCCTCTTCCCACCTGATGCAAACTGCTAATGCCATCAGGACACCCGCTTCTGTGCCACCGAGCCTCTCCCTGCATCTCAAATCCCAGCCAAAGCCACTTTCCTCCCCCTTTGCTTCCTCCATTCCTGGCTCTCCACCTCTGCTCCCGCTGGATTTGGCCGCACGTGCCGGGGCTCAGCCTGCTCCCACACATCCAACCACCATCTCCTTCCTCTGGGCGTGCTTGGGTTTCACCTTTCCTCTCCCCCTCGACCACACTGCTGAGTTTCTAATTCACTCACCAGCCACTGCCTGTCGTGCTGCTGTTTCCCGTAACTCATACCGCACGGCATGTCTTGTATCATTTAGCTCCACGAAGCACTACGTGCCCATAAAAGACGCTACAAAATCAAGTTGTATTGCATTACACCGAGTCCTGAAGGCCTGAGCTGGTGATGTTTACGTCGCTAGTTGCGAATCGCCCGGACTCGACGGTTCACCTACTTGACAGCTACAACTGTCCTTTGCAGCTCCAGATTATGTTAAAACGCGTTTGCTGGAGCACTTACACCGCCGGGCTCGTTGTCTCGTTGCCGTTCAAAAAAAAGCCAGTTTGCCATTTCCCGACCTCACCAGAACCGGCGGAGCTAACCGGCCCCACCGAACAAAGCCGAGCTGATGCTGTATTTTGAAAATGTCCTGACCTGGAAAATCCCCAATATGGAGCTCCACTCGACCTAGATTTTAGTGGCCGCTAATTGAACAGTTTTGAAGTAACTGTGCCATAAAGCAGCCCCAGGGTTAGAACAGATGCATTCAATTAATTACAGCTGGAGAGATTCAGTCAAAATCACAGAAAGAAGATAAGTCTTAAAGGTCCCGTCTCACCGAGCGCTGGGGACCCCTCCCAGCAGCATCCCCGCGTCCCCTCGCGTGTGGCAGATGCTCGACAAGAAACCTCCACAAACCCAGCCCGGGGCTGCCTGAACCCCCGGCTCGGTGCTGGGGAGCTGCTCAGGCTGCAGGGCTGCAACCACAGCCCAGATTTCTGTCCTGAGACTGGCAGGATTAGGAAGAAATATTCCCCCATTTCAAGAAATATACTTTGGTAGAGTAGCTCTTCACTCCGAGGTCTGGGGAGGATCAAAAGAACCTGCAAAGGGCAGCTGAGCAAAACTGAGGCAATTACCAGGAATTGCACATTTACTGTTTAGGGGTCTGCTCCTCTGCTGGAAGTTTTTTAGTTTGTTTGCAGAACCGAAGCCGTCTGAAAGTCACTGAGATCCGGAGCGGGGTGTGGGAGGCAGGCCCTTGGGTTTTGTTGATCTCCCAATTGTTCCAAGCAGGTCACCTCTCCCCTCTGCAGCAGCCTTGCCTTGCAGTGAACAAATCTGCAACCCACCATCTCTAATAAAGCAACCCACCATCTCTAATAAAGCATGCTCCTGCTGCTCAGGGAAGCGATTTACGCAAGTGTGAGGCATTGCATTATTCACCAAAAGGAACCAAATGAGTGACGGTAGGAGCTTGGTTACCCTGACACTGCCCTTACACCACCTAAGAGATGCAGATGCACTGCATTTCTGTTGCTGCTGCCCGAAACCAAGGTTAGGGATCCCCGAGGCTGCAATCTGAGGGATCCCAGGGATCCAGGAGCCTCAACAGGGTGCTAGCACACTTCCCACCCTGCAGACGCCACTGCTCTAACGATGCAGGATAAATGTTCTCAGCCTCACGTCTTGCCGGTTGCCTGGTTCAGCCTTTCTGACATCAGGAAACATTTTGCCTCCAGAAGAAGTCTGTGCGAGGCTTTCCTCCTGGAGCTGGGGGCAAGCCGCGAGCTTAGGGCCGCTCTGCACGACGACCACTTGGCATCTGTCAGGGTGCAGGGAGAGCACCCGGCTCTCGCAGAATCAACGGCATAACCCCTGCCCCCTCCCAAAATGTCATCCACCTCCCTTCTCTTTGTCTTCTTCCATCCCGCTCTAAGCGAGCTGGATCCCAGCTGATGAGCCCAGCGGGGAAGCAGCACATAAGCATTGTCATCCCGGCATGATCCCTCCTTGTCTCTGCCTTAGCTGATAGCACATTCAGAACCTAATTGTTATCTCAGCAGAGCAACTCCATTATTCAGCCTGACACTGGCCCCCCTTCAGCTGTTTGTTGCACTGATGTTATATTAATGAGGCCTGCAAATAAATGAATAGGAGATCAGAGTGCCGCTTGTTCGCGAGAAAACTGATTTTTATTTATTTATTGCTAAGACCACAGACCGTGTGGAAGTTTTCTGCTGTTAAAGGGACACTGTCGGTGACAGCTGGGCCTCTCGGAAAAGGGCTGTGTATATCCTACTACTCATTTACTTTTGTGACTATTAAAACACAATCTCTTCTTACTAGTTACGCATCCCCTGGTGGCACTGACACCCGGGAGCCAGGCCCTTGAGCTCTGGCTTGACAGAAAGAATGAACCTGGCCAGATGAAGCAGAAGGAATGGAAAAAAGCCCAAATTACAGGCTCTCCTAGTCCAAGCAGTCCAGGCTGCAATGCAAGCCCTGGTATGAGGCCACTAGTTCCCTCTGCTTTCCCCCTTCTTTTTATCAACAGCAAAAACTACAAACTTGACTATTTTTTGGTGTGTGGGGGGGAAGCCAACAAATAAAAAGCTGTGAATTCATAAGGAGAAGGGTGGGAGGTGGAGTTCAAGAAAAAAACACCAAACACTGCAAGACCTGTGATAAAATCACGACAACTCTCAGCACTGCCAGAGCCAGCAGAGGCCACGGGACAACACAACTCCCCGAAACCTGTGTTTTCTATCCTGACCTTCACTGTGGAATCAGCCGATCTGCCAACAACAGCACAGACATTTCCTACTCGATTCTCTCATCTCCAAACCCACTCAGGGCAATCTCCTGAGACTCAAAACATGCCCTGGCAAGGCGTCCCACGCTTCCCGCTTTCAAGGCTGAGACACGGACCTGGTTATGGAGACGAGAAATCTGTAACGGCAAAGCCCCGCTCTTTTCTCCTTGGACAGAGCCCAAAAGTGTTGCTTTCAAGTTGGACAGTGACAAAACGCTCGGTGGCAGCGCCGTGCCCGCAGCCAGCGTGAGAGCCAGCCCGGCAGTGCTCGCTTGGTGGCTGGAGCACAGTGTTCTTCCCTTTCTCTGCTTAGCTCAAGGAGGGATAAATAAATAAATCTAAGACTTCTTCAATGTTACAACTGTCTGAACGGTTTACAGTGAAGAAAATCTCAGGCAGAGGCTGTTTTGCTTCTTGCATCTTGTAGCATAAGCTTGTGTGAGCAGAAGAGCACTCAGATAAGAAAACCTGGGTTTCTGGCAGGACAAGGTGAATATCCAGGCAAGCCTTTAAGACTCATTTTATCTCTCTGTAAAGGCAACTATGACTTGCCGAACAAACAAAAAAAAAACCAAATAAGGAAAGGACAGACTCTCAACATTGCTTAACCCTTTCATGTCCCTGTACAACCAGCACGACCACCACCGCTCTGCAGTTTTCTCAACAGTGCACGAGAGAAAAACCTGTCCATCCAGGGTATAACGTGGCTGGGCAGAAGGTCTAGGAAAGAAATACCAAAGGTCCGGTAACACCCCTGGGGGTTGGATGGACCGTCCTCAGCAACGTCCTGCTCCAGCCAGCCCCAGCCCTGGTGCAGCACCACCAGCCTCTGCTCCATAAAAACGAGGCTGAGGCCTCCAGGGGGTCTGAGCACGAGCCAGTTTAGCTAAGCTGGTGTAGAAGCAAATCGGAATTAAGAGGAAACTTCCACATACACTGAGTTCCTCAGTCAGCTGGCAGAAGTCAGCGTGCTGAGCAGCTCTGCTCCTGCCCTGAGCATCAGTGCAACAGGCTGCTTGGATCCCCCACGCCCAGGCCCTCCGCACCCTCAGGGCAAGGGAGGCTCTTTTGGGGAGTTAATTAAGTGAGAAACCAAACCCTTCCTTCATTCCCACCTGATAGGAGTGTCACTCCTAACAGTAACATTAAGAGACCGAGTGCAGTTTTACGGGTAAAAACGCTCCTGGGAGACATTCTGCATCCCTCAGCGGTCTGAACAGAAACATCAGAAGCATCAACTACAGACTAATTAGCTCCCTAGTTTAATTAGCATTCTCGCAACAGTCCGTAGCGGTCACCCCAATGCCGGTAGCATCGCCGGTGACGACAGCTGCGCGGCGGGCTGCACGCCCCGGCCACGCACCGCCAGATCCCCACGTTAATTTCCCAGAAAGCCCCGAAGCGTTTTATCCCCCCGCCCTGCCCTCCAGCGCCAGGTGGACGACGGTGAATTTTCAGGGGCATTTCTGGAAGGAAGCGAGGAGAAGGGAGCCGGAGAGGCGCGCGGCTCTTACCTCGGTGATGCGCGGGTTGGAGCACTTGACGTTGCGGCTGGGACAGGCGGGCCCAGAGGGCCGCAGCGCGCACGTGGCCTCGCGGCTGCACCACCCGCACTCGAACTTGGGGTCGGCTTTGAGGCAGAGCCCGCAGCTCTCGCGCTGAGCCGCACACTTGTAGAGGTGCACTGCGGGGAAGAGGACACGGGCGCTCAGCACCCAGGCGGGAAGCATAAAGTTTGCGCAGATGACAGCTGCTCACAGACTTCACAGAATGGCCGAGGCTGGAAGGGACCTTAGAGATCATTTAATCCAATCTCCCTGTCGTGGGCAGGGGCGCATCTCAGCTAGATCAGGCAACATGTGGGGACTTACGAAGGCGCGTGTAGTTTAATGGACTTGCCCGTGTGGTTCCCAAAGGCAAGGCTGTAGCAGTGGAGCAGAGTGAGCAAAATATCCATGGGGACCACGTCTCTGTCCTAACAGCCACTTTCCAGCCCCCATTGCCGCCCTCCTTCCCGTTGCCCGAGAGCCAACTCAAGCAGACATTACCTTTCAGATCCTCCGGGTTGTCGATAACAAAGTTCCCGTTCCAAACCACCGCAAAGTCCACTGCTAAGTTGCTGATGTCCATCCCATCATAGAGGTACTGCAGGAGAAGATCGAGAATTAAATGCTTGGGAAGATGTATCAGAGACATTAACAGCAAAATAAGATTTTTTTTTTTTTTTTAAAGAAACTTTGATTATTCACTGCTTAAAAACATGTGCCGGTGGCTGAACCAACACATTTCTACATTTCATCTCCAGGGTCCTGCTTTGACTCCCTCCTCCTCACGAGGAAGAGATAATTAAATCAGATCTAGTCCTTGTGAGAGGTAATAGATTAATTATTCCACTCCCAGCAGTTGCTCTTGTCACTCAGTCTCTAGCTTATCAATACAGCCCCTCCAGTTAATCAGCCTGGAAGGACCACTGCCTTCGGGCTATCTTCTTATACAGTCACCATGCACCCAAGTGGGACTGGGTGCTTGAAAATCATGTTGCACAGCTTTAGCTGATGAAATTGGCAACAGCTGAGCAGAAATAGATGCTGCAGAGAGGTCCTTTCCCAGCCTCTGCTTCAGCCCAGGCCAGGAGAGCACCACCTTGAGTTATTCACCTTCTCATGGACATCTTGGGGTCCCCGGCCGAGTGCCTATGGATGCTTTAGGTGAATTCTGAAATTCCCATCATCACAATTAACATTAATAAGGACTCGTTCTGATGCGCTCTTTAAGTCAACCAAGACCTGCCGAAAAGACTTAAAAACATGAGCGAACATCGCCAGCCTCTTTGGGATGAGGGAACGACGATCAAACCGAAGCAGACTGCTCTGACTGTCCCCCGTGCAGCCCTTGCACAGTTTTCACTTACGTTTGGTTGTACTGATTCACCTTGCCTGGATTTGACTAAGTTGGAGCGAAATTAGATCTTCTGCACGAGCAATAGAGCTGTGAGGACAGAATTGCCCTTGTGTTCCCTACCTACCACTTCCTATTAGCCTAACAGGAATAAAAGTACTTCTCTAATGTTTGTAAGTCACTTTGGATAGGAAAAGTACTACAGAGTATTAATACATTTATTATCCACTGAGCTGCAAGGCCCAAAGACGGCCAGTGATATATAAATATCCAGTGAAATTTTTAAAAATTCAAAACTTCATTAACAATTCAAGACCATCTGCACTGAATATTAAAGCAGACCCTGTCCTGCTGCCTAAACCAAACCAAATGTGCCCTGTTTGCCCGTGGACCTCTCCGAACGCAGGGCAAGAGCTCTCCTCCCCTGCCTGCTTCTCCGGCAGCATCCCTCGGATAATTTCCCTCTCTGCCGCGCTGTGCTCTCCCCGTCGCCCCTCCTTCCCCGCAGCATGCTGATTTTCAGCATTACTGTATTCATCCAGCTAGCGTGACCCGGAATTCGACAGCTCCCCGATAAGGGGGCTGCGATTCGCCTTATCTCCCCCGTGTGAATTAGCCTGCCTCCCCACCTCCTCCTCCTCCCCTTCCCCTCGCTGACCCCCCACAGGCAGATAAAGAATCTTCTCCTAGAATGAAACACCTCGCACTCGCTCCCATGGTGAGTTCCCACCCGGAATTCAGGATTAGTTTAACTCCTGGATGATTTTTCACTCTCCCCATCCCTTTTCGGAGCTGGCACCTGTTTTTTTGGGCACCTTTTTACCCCCATGGTGCCCTCCCGGCCGCTCACCGAGCTGTTCTGGCACTGGACGCTGGAGCTGTTGAAGCGCAGGGCGGGCACGCGGTGGATCACGCCCTGGATGCTGAGCACACACTCGTAGCCGCGCTGGCCGGACTGCGGCTGGGGCAGGTTCCTCGCCTTCAGCGTGATGGGTTTCACCTCTCCCACGGGGATCAGGATCTCCTCTGTGGGGAAGAGCTGGGGACAGTCCTGGGGGGCAGCGGAAGAGAGGGAGGAGGTTACGGCGGTGATGGCATGTCCGTACGCCTGCCCTTTCTGTCTCTAAAGCAATGCTCTTCCCTGCTCTGTGCTTCTGGGAAGCGGAAGATATCCAAGGATGGGAGGATCTGGTCGGAGTCAGCATCCAGAGGAGTAGGGACAGGGTTTTCAAAGATTAAAGCACCCTAATCCTGATCCCCCTGGGCTTTCTCAAATTGCCTACACCGCAAAACTGCAAAGGGTTTAACGTGTGCAATAAACCCAGAGCCTCCTCCAGCAAACAGCATTTGGGAAGGTCTTGTGGCTTCCAAAAAAGTGGCCTGAGGAGCTGACGCTGAGGAGGGATCTCGCACAGAGGAGGGAGGACTGAAACAAAAATCAAATTCATTTGTACCCGGCTGTATCTCAGCATGTGTCGGCGGGGAGGATGCTGAGCTGTGTCCAGGAGCACCATCCAGCCCTTTGTGCACCGTGAAAACAGCAAAATTGTCAATGAGCTTAGATTTCACCTGCAGGCTTCCTGCCAGAAGGAGAGACTGCCAGATGGGGAGGAAGGCCAGCCCAAGAGATGCCACACAAGCTCTGACGCCCCTGGGGCCTGAGGCACCAGGTCTCTGCCCTCTCACAGCACCCTTTGGGCTTAAGCCTCGAACCCACCTGGCCCAAGCCCTTTGGGCTCCATAAAGTTCTTTACCATTAGCCTGGAAACAGCCGCCGCCAGCCCCATGGCAGGAGGAGGACGATGACCCGGCCCAGCTCAGTCATTCGAGCAAACGGGGCGGCAGCAGCAGCTCCTGCTGCAGATCAAAGTCTTTCTGTACCTCCGGGATGCAACTGGGAGCCTCTCCAGGAATGCATTTTTCTGAGTCAAATGCAAATTCAGAAGTGTGTTACAGCAGGAGCCTTCCAGTGCTACCTGTCACCCTGCCAGGCCACAGCAAAGGCGTTTTGGGAGACAAGCAGAAAAAGCGAGGGATGCTGAGCTCCAGGAGCAGGGAGAGGC